TACTATATTATTCATCCGGTGACCTCACAGTCCCCTACAGCCAATCTAAAGACATCAATTATGTATTCACCATAATAACCCGTTTCACGTGCATAATATCGTCGTGTGTACTGAAGAGGTCATCTCATCTGGTGTGTTGAAGGGGTGAAATCATCTGGTGTGTTGAAGGGGTCAAACAATCAGGTGTGTTGAATACGATCATTGATACGACTGTGCTACGTTCAATGGAACGAGACAAAGCTGTTTTTTATAATGAAGTATAAATAGTACTATTAGACTTTAAAGGATCAATCAAAGCAGTTGTGTTGTTATCCGGTAAACTGAGAGGGGGGCGCTCACACCTGGCTTTGTGGACTGAGATGTCGGATTTAATTATTCAGCAGTTGATTGTTGGGAGCTTTTGTGTTCTCTGTGCTCCGGTCAAAAAAATATTTGTACTGTCAAAAGGCTGTCACTGTAGTGTAGCCTCACATGACTGATCCCCTCACTTCTCTCCCCTCCAACACTACCACTTTACATTGACGTCAGTGCATGTGGTCAGGTGAATTCCACTGCTTTACAGGAAGCGTTTACTCCGTGATCTACAGACAGTATCCTCCCAAGGTACCACCGCAACCTCCGTATCTCCCTCAACCACCGAGTATCTGATCGGTTCTCCTCAACCCAGGTCCAACCTAGACGATCATAATCTAAATATTACATCTGTCCCTGGATCAGTGGTTTAAAAGTCATAATGAAAATGCTCCAACACATGATGTTACTCCAGTCGATGACTTCATCTAAACATTAAGTGTTGCAACCAGGAAGGGTGCGTCTGAAATGGCACCCTGTTCCCTTTTTAGCGCACTACTTTTGACCAGGGTCCAAAGTGCACTTATGTAGGAATTAGGGTGCACACAAGTTCAGTACATTCTGAGTGTAGTTCCCCACATGAAAAAAAATACTATAGTATACTATAGCAGGGTTACTCAAACTCGGTCCTGGGACCCCCCTGGTACACGTTTAGTTATTTTTTTAATCAAAGCTTGATGATGAGTTGGTAGGGGAAAAACCAAAAGGTGCACCCAGGGGGATGCCCCAGGACCGAGTTTGGGAAACCCTGTACTATGGTATAAATACTATAGGATTCACTGTAGTGTTTTTGCGGACTTTAGTAGTATTTACTGTAGTATTTACAGTTAACTATAGTATAAATACTGCAGTAAAAGAAAACTAGTATATACTATAGTAATTAATGTAGTGTTTTTTCAGATTGTAGTATCCTGTAGTATTTAATGTAGTGTTTTTGCGGACGGTAGTATACTGTAGTATTTATAGTATTTTATAGTATTTTGTTTTATTATCTTTGACGTAAAAGTATAGGCCTTCTCCTTCAGGAAACCTACTGGAGAAATACTAAAAGAGCAAATGTTCAGGTAGGTAGGATGGGGGGTCTGAAAGGATAGTTCAGAGCTGCTACTCTTTTCTATAACCTGTAGGGAACACAATATATAGCTGTATCTTTTGTGTCATAACAGACAGGTGTCTGGCCTATAGTCCATGAACTGTACTGTAGCATTGTCATAGTGTTTTACCATGGTCCCATGCTTTACTGTCATAGTGTTTTACCATGGTCCATGCTTTACTGTCATAGTGTTTTACCATGGTCCCATGCTTTACTGTCATAGTGTTTTTAACCATGGTCCCATGCTTTACTGTCATAGTGTTTTAAACCATGGTCCATGCTTTAACTGTCATAGTGTTTTACCATGGTCCATGCTTTACTGTCATAGTGTTTTACCATGGTCCATGCTTTACTGTCATAGTGTTTTAACCATGGTCCATGCTTTAACTGTCATAGTGTTTTACCATGGCCCATGCTTTACTGTCATAGTGGTTTTACCATGGTCCCATGCTTTACTGTCATAGTGTTTTACCATGGTCCCATGCTTTAACTGTCATAGTGTTTTACCATGGTCCCATGCTTTACTGTCATAGTGTTTTACCATGGTCCCATGCTTTACTGTCATAGTGTTTTACCATGGTCCCATGCTTTACTGTCATAGTGTTTTACCATGGTCCCATGCTTTACTGTCATAGTGTTTTACCATGGTCCCATGCTTTACTGTCATAGTGTTTTACCATGGTCCCATGCTTTACTGTCATAGTGTTTTACCATGGTCCCATGCTTTACTGTCATAGTGTTTTTACCATGGTCCCATGCTTTACTGTCATAGTGTTTTACCATGGTCCATGCTTTACTGTCATAGTGTTTTACCATGGTCCCATGCTTTACTGTCATAGTGTTTTACCATGGTCCATGCTTTACTGTCATAGTGTTTTACCATGGTCCATGCTTTACTGTCATAGTGTTTTACCATGGTCCCATGCTTTACTGTCATAGTGTTTTACCATGGTCCCATGCTTTACTGTCATAGTGTTTTACCATGGTCCCATGCTTTACTGTCATAGTGTTTTACCATGGTCCATGCTTTACTGTCATAGTGTTTTACCATGGTCCCATGCTTTACTGTCATAGTGTTTTACCATGGTCCATGCTTTACTGTCATAGTGTTTTACCATGGTCCCATGCTTTACTGTCATAGTGTTTTGCCATGGTCCATGCTTTACTGTCATAGTGTTTTACCATGGTCCATGCTTTACTGTCATAGTGTTTTACCATGGTCCATGCTTTACTGTCATAGTGTTTTACCATGGTCCATGCTTTACTGTCATAGTGTTTTACCATGGTCCATGCTTTACTGTCATAGTGTTTTACCATGGTCCATGCTTTACTGTCATAGTGTTTTACCATGGTCCCATGCTTTACTGTCATAGTGTTTTACCATGGTCCATGCTTTACTGTGCTGTAGGATTGACATAGTGTCTTGTTGGTCAGTAGTACTCCCATCTCTGTTTGGGGCATTCAGCCCAAAACTGTTTTTTTTTTTCTTCCTTTCAGTCCTTCAGTGAGAGCTGTTCTGTTCTGGTCTGTTCTGTTCTATTCTGGTCCGGTCTGGTCTGTTCTGGTCTGGTCCGGTCTGGTCCCATCTGTTCTGGTCCGGTCTGGTCTGGTCTGGTCTGTTCCGGTCTGGTCTGGTCCGGTCTGGTCTGTTCCGGTCTGGTCCCATCTGTTCTGGTCTGGTCCCATCTGTTCCGGTCTGGTCTGGTCTGGTCTGGTCTGGTCTGGTCCGGTCTGGTCTGTTCCGGTCTGGTCCCATCTGTTCTGGTCTGGTCCCATCTGTTCTGGTCTGGTCTGGTCCGGTCTGGTCTGTCATCGAGGCTTCCTTCTATTGTGATCTACTACCAGCAGATAATCAAGGCTTTCTGTCACTACAGGTTTTAGCTATGTGTTACCATACTTCCTAAAAGTACCTTAAAGAGAGTGTGTGTGTCTCACTTTGTGTGTTAGTTAGTGTGTAAATGGGTCAGCAATGTAGATATTGTACATTGCGTGTACCTGTAAACGTGTAACAGTGTGACATCTTATGCAGCCCATTGTGAGCTTTGTGAAAGAGTCACATCCCGGAATACATCAATCTTCTGGCACACACACAGAGGGAGGGGGAGGCCACCTCCAGAAACCTCCCCTCCACTTCCTCCGCACCCCTTAAAGCAGCTCTCACTCAAACTGCATTTGCACTCAAGAAAAGGCCAGCTTTTAAATAGTGCAGCATACATACATACAGTACATTAACAGAGAAGTCTAATTATAACCAGGTCGCTGATAACAGCAGAGAGGTGTTATTCCTGCCCAGCTACCTGTTGACAGAACTAAGATCAACTGAACATGACGTCTCAGAAATGACAGGACCTTTAGCTGAGGTGCAGAGCACTATCTTAGGACTCTGGATAGAGCTTTTAACAATCAGACTGTTACATTATACTGGGAGGGTTAAAGAATGGATGGGCCTTTTCTTATAGAAGCGCATTTTCAGTGCACTTGTCAACAATGCGCCGTTGATTGAATCCCAGACTGGTCCAGTCCAGTGGAAGACTGGGAGACAAGGATAAGACTGACACAAGAGATAGTGTGCCCTTCTGTGAGGATAAGACTGACACCAGAGATAGTGTGCCCTTCTGTGAGGATAAGACTGACACCAGAGATAGTATGCCCTTCTTTGAGGATAGGACTGACACCAGAGATAGTGTGCCCTTCTGTGAGGATAAGACTGACACCAGAGATAGTGTGCCCTTCTGTGAGGATAAGACTGACACCAGAGATACTGTGCCCTTCTGTGAGGATAAGACTGACACCCGAGATATGTGTCCCTTCTGTGAGGATAAGACTGACACCAGAGATAGTTGTGCCCTTCTGTGAGGATAAGACTGACACCAGAGATAGTGTGCCTTCTGTGAGATAAGACGGAACACCAGAGATAGTGTGCCCTTCTGTGAGGATAAGGACTGACACCCAGAGATAGTGTGCCCTTCTGTGAGGATAGACTGACACCAAGATACTGTGCCCTTCTGTGAGGATAGACTGACACCAGAGATAGTGTGCCCTTCTTGAGGATAAGACTGACACCAGAGATACTGTGCCCTTCTTGAGGATAAGACTGACACCAGAATAGTGTGCCCTTCTGTGAGGATAGACTGACACCAGAGATAGTGTGCCCTTCTTTGAGGATAAGACTGACACCAGAGATAGTGTGCCCTTCTTTGAGGATAAGACTGACACCAGAGATAGTGTGCCCTTTCTTTGAAGAGTATACACAAACTCAGTGTTCATGTGTCAGTGTTCAGTCACAAGATTTGACCTCATGTTCAGTTTCAGTCATAGTTCCGAGAATAGTGCCTGCCCTCCTCTTGGGCATGCTCTCCAGATCGTGTCCCCTTCTTCATAGCTGACACTCTCCTCTCTCTCTAGATAACACGACACCATACACACCCTTCTTGAGGAAGCACCTTGCCCCACCAGTGTGTGCCCTTCTTCTTAGATAACGCTGCACCAGAATAGGCCTTTCAGGAAGCTGACACCATAGATAGTGTGCCACTTTCTTTGAGATGACTACACAGATATGTCCCTCTTTAATAAGACTGACACCATAGATAGTGTGCCCTTCTTTGAGGATAGGACTGACACCAGAGATAGTGTGCCCTTCTTTGAGGATAAGACTGACACCAGAGATAGTGTGCCCTTCTTTGAGGATAGGACTGACACCAGAGATAGTGTGCCCTTCTTTGAGGATAAGACTGACACCAGAGATAGTGTGCCCTTCTTTGAGGATAAGACTGACACCAGAGATAGTGTGCCCTTCTGTGAGGATAAGACTGACACCAGAGATAGTGTGCCCTTCTGTGAGGATAAGACTGACACCAGAGATAGTGTGCCCTTCTGTGAGGATAAGACTGACACCAGAGATAGTGTGCCCTTCTGTGAGGATAGGACTGACACCAGAGATAGTGTGCCCTTCTGTGAGGATAAGACTGACACCAGAGATACTGTGCCCTTTCTGTGAGGATAAGACTGACACCAGAGATAGTGTGCCCTTCTTTGAGGATAAGACTGACACCAGAGATAGTGTGCCCTTCTTTGAGGATAAGACTGACACCAGAGATAGTGTGCCTTTCTTTGAAGAGGTATACACAAACACCTCAGTGTTCAGTTCAGTGTTCAGTCATAAGTTTGACCTCAGTGTTCAGTTTTCAGTCATAAGGTTGAGAAAGGCCAGGCCTCCATCTGGCTCTCTCTCTCTCTCTCTCTCTCTCTCTCTCTCTCTCTCTCTCTCTACAACACACACATACACACACACACGGGGGAGGCCACCTCCAGCAATCTCCCCTCCACTTCCTCCGCTCCCCTTCTAATAGCTATCACTCAAACTGCATTTGCACTCAAGAATAGGCCAGCTTTTAACAGTGCAGCATACATACAGTGCATTCAGAAAGTATTCAGATCCCTTGACTTTTTCCACATTTTGTTACGTAACAGCCTTATTCTAAAATGGATTAAATGTTTTTTTTCCCTCATCCAACTACACACAATACCCCATAATGACAAAGCAAAAATAGGTTTTTAGATGTTTTAGCAAATTTATAAAAGAATAAATAACTTTTATATCACATTTACATAAGTATTCAGACCCTTTACTCAGTACTTTGTTGAAGCACCTTTGGCAGCAATTACTGCCTCGAGTCTTCTTGGGTATGACGCTACAAGCTTGGCACACCTGTGTTTGGGGGAGTTTCTCACATTCTTCTCTGCAGATACTTTCAAGCTTTGTCAGGTTGGATGGGGAGCGTCGCTGCACAGCTATTTTCAGGTCTCTCCAGAGATTTTCGATCTGATTCAAGTCCGGGCTCTGGCTGGGCCACTCAAGGACATTCAGAGACTTGTCCTGAAGCCACTCCTGCGTTGTCTTGGCTGTGTGCTAAGGGTCGTTGTCCTGTTGGAAGGTGAACCTTCGCCCCAGTCTGAGGTCCTAAGCGCTCTGGAGCAGGTTTTCATCAAGGATCTATCTGTACTTTGCTCCGTTCATCTTTGCCTCGATCCTGACTAGTCTCCCAATCCCTGCTGCTGAAAAACATCCCCAAAGCATGATGCTGCCACCACCATGCTTCACCGTAGGGATGGTCCCAGGTTTCCTCCAGACGTGACGCTTGGCATTCAGGCCAAAGAGTTGAATCTTGGTTTCATCAGACCAGATAATCTTGTTTCTCATGGTCTGAGAGTCCTTTAGGTGACCTTTTGACAAACGCTAAGTGGGCTATCATGTGCCTTTTACTGAGGAGTGGCTTCCGTCTGGCCAATCTACCATAAAGGCCTGATTTGTGGAGTGCTGCAGAGATGGTTGTCCTTCTGGAAGGTTCTCCCATCTCCACAGAGAAACTATGGAGCTCTGTCAGAGTGACCATCAGGCTCTTGGTCACCTACCTGACCAAGGCCCTTCTCCACCGATTGCTCAGTTTGGCTGGGCGGCCAGCTCTAGGACGAGTCTTGTTGGTTCCAAACTTCTTCCATTTAAGCATGATGGAGGCCACTGTGTTCTTGGGGTACCCTTCCCCAGATCTGTGCCTCGACACAATCCTGTCTTGGAGCTCCACGGTCAAGTCCTTCAATCTCATGGCTTGGTTTTTGCTCTGACTTGCACTGTCAACTGTGGAACCTTATTTAGATAGGTGTGTGCCTTTCCAAATCATGTCCAATCAATTGAATTTACCACAGGTGGACTCCAATCAAGTTGTAGAAACAGCTCAAGGATGATCAATGGAAACAGGATGCACCTGAGCTCAATTTCGAGTCTATTAGCAAAGGGTCTGAATACTCATGTAAATAAGGTATTTCTTTTTTTTTCTTCTTTTTTTTACATTTGCAAAAATTCCTACAAACCGGTTTTCACCTTGTCATTATGGGGTATCGTGTGTAAATTGATGAGGAAAATAAATAATTTAATCCATTTTAAAATAAGGCTGTAACGTAACAAAATGTGGGGAAAAGGGAAGGGGTCTGAATACTTTCCCAATGCACTGTACACACAGTACATTACAAGGAAGGTCTAATACTTTAAGCCGTACCGCGTATTAACACAGAGCTAATTATAATCCTGCCCTGTACAGATGAGGGTATCCTACAAGTTGTTACAGTACTAAGCACCATGAATGGACGTTCTCCCACAGATTACTGAGTCAGAGCCTATGTAGATCTTCGGATAGAGCTTTACATCAGACGTTACTTATGGAGGTTACAGAAGTTTGAAAAACTTCCAAAAGCGCTTCAAAGCACTGTCAACCCCTTGAAATCTTTGGAGTTACAGTCCAGTTTGCCACGCGAAGACCCAAAACACACTGCTCAGAGATGTTGCTTGGAGGATGATGGCCAAAATACTGTCCCTTCTGTGGATAAACTTGAACACAAAGTTGCCTCTGTGGGACTGCCAAAAGAGTAGTATACCTACTGTGAGGATAAGAAACTAGTATGTTTTGACCATCTTTGATTACCTGACAATAGATATAACTTCTAAATAAGACTGACACACAAGATGTGTGCTTCTGTGAGAAAGACTGACATATATTTGTGCCTTCTTTAGATATGACTGACCAGAGATTGTGCCCTTCATGTGATGACTACACTAAGTGGGCCCTTCTGAGAAACTGGGACTGACCAAATAGTTCCCTTCTTTATGGTACCTTTGACAACTAAGGACCCTCACTGAGATGTCTGAAACACAGGACTGTCCTTCTTGAGGTAAGACTGACCAGATCTGTGCCTTTTGAGGAATCAACTGACACCAGATATTAGCCTTGTGGAGTTAAAATGAGCCTCTAGATGGCCCTTTAGTAGACTGACACGAGATAGGTGCCCTTCGTTAGTAATCCGACTGGCCAGTCATGTGACCCTCTGGAGACATAAGGACACCAAGATAGTGTCCCTTTGTGGATAAGACTGACACAGAGATGTGTGCCCTTCTGTGAAAGATACACAAACACTCAGTGTCGCGCACTAGTACTGCATGTTTTACGTAAGCTGACCAGATTTCCCTTCTTAGATAAGACTGACACAAGAGATAGTGTGCCCTTCTGTGAGGATAAGACTGACACAAGAGATAGTGTGCCCTTCTGTGAGGATAAGACTGACACCAGAGATAGTGTGCCCTTCTGTGAGGATAAGACTGACACCAGAGATAGTGTGCCCTTCTGTGAGGATAAGACTGACACCAGAGATAGTGTGCCCTTCTGTGAGGATAAGACTGACACCAGAGATAGTGTGCCTTCTGTGAGGATAAGACTGACATGAGATAGTGTGCCCTTCTTTGAGGATAGGACTGACACCAGAGATAGTGTGCCCTTCTGTGAGGATAGGACTGACACCAGAGATAGTGTGCCCTTCTTTGAGGATAAGACTGACACCAGAGATAGTGTGCCCTTCTTTGAGGATAAGACTGACACCAGAGATAGTGTGCCCTTCTGTGAGGATAAGACTGACACCAGAGATCGTGTGCCCTTCTTGAGGATAAGACTGACACCAGAGATAGTGGTGCCCTTCTTTGAGGATAATACTGACACCAGAGATAGTGTGCCCTTCTGTGAGGATAAGACTGACACCAGAGATCGTGTGCCCTTCTGTGAGGATAAGACTGACACCAGAGATAGTGTGCCCTTCTGTGAGGATAAGACTGACACCAGAGATAGTGTGCCCTTCTGTGAGGATAAGACTGACACCAGAGATAGTGTGCCCTTCTGTGAGGATAAGACTGACACCAGAGATCGTGTGCCCTTCTGTGAGGAGGTATACACAAACACCTCAGTGTTCAGGTCAGTGTTCAGTCATAAGGTTGACTGGCACCATGTCTCTCTCTCTCTCTCTCTCTCTCTCTCTCTCTCTCTCTCTCTCTCTCTCTCTTCAACTCACACACTCCTAGCAGCCTTGCCTCGCTGTGGTCTTGCTGTGAGTGTGTGGAGACTGGAAAGAGAGAGATTTTGCCAAAATCACAAGCTTTAATGTACTCAGCATTTTAAAAGTTAACGTTTAACAGTTAGAATTAAAACCTAATCAGACGTTATGAAGGATGTGATTATACAGTATATAATCACTCTGGTGGAATATCTGACATACCAGTTAACGTTCTCTTACAGCTCATTTAAAAAGCTACAGTTGGTTGGTTAAAATCAGCTTCTCCTCATTGCTTTAATGATGTGCCTTGTTTGGCAAGGTACCCCAGAGTGGGATGGAACTGTGTAGTGTTTTTAGGGGGCTGTATAGCTGTCTGGTAGGGTTGAAGGTGACACTGGAAGGTGTGTGTGTGTGTGTGTGTGTGTCTGTGTGTGTGCGTGCTTGCGCGGGTGGGTGGGTGCGTATTTTAGCAGACTGGGGCCTCTCTGTGCCTCTGTTTTAAAACACACATTCTTAAACACACGCGTTATAAATAGATCCAAAGCTGAGGTCACCATGATAGCCAGTCCTGAGGGGCGGGATCCTAAAATGGCTGCTTCCTGTCTTGGAATACTGAACACCAGCCCCCCTTACACACACAGACAGACAGTCCATTGTGGTCATAACAGTCCATTGTGGTCATAACAGTCCATTGTGGTGAAAACAGTCCATTGTGGTGAAAACAGTCCATTGTGGTGAAAACAGTCCATTGTGGTGATAACAGTCCATTGTGGTGATAACAGTCCATTGTGGTCATAACAGTCCATTGTGGTGATAACAGTCCATTGTGGTGATAACAGTCCATTGTGGTTATAACGGTCCATTGTGGTGATAACAGTCCATTGTGGTGATAACAGTCCATTGTGGTTATAACGGTCCATTGTGGTCATAACAGTCCATTGTGGTGATAACAGTCCATTGTGGTGATAACAGTCCATTGTGGTGATAACAGTCCATTGTGGTGATAACAGTCCATTGTGGTGATAACGGTCCATTGTGGTTATAACGGTCCATTGTGGTGATAACAGTCCATTGTGGTGATAACAGTCTTAGTGGGTTTCAAAGCGAGAAAGTCAGAGTATCAGGAGGCAGTGCTTGCCCTTACAAAAAAAATAGTGCAAAAATAATGTGAAAAAAATACATGTGGTTTTCAGACATGTATTAAGACACATGTTTGAACCAATCACATGTGGATATATTTTTTTGCCACAGGTGAAGTCACATGAATTTTTCACATGTATACTTTTCACGTTCATTTTTCGCATGTTTGCCTCCTGCTAGTAAGGGGGGCTGTCCACATGACTCAGACACATGTATACACCCCAGTGGAGGCTGCTGAGGGGAGGATGGCTCATAACAATGGTATGGAGACTGAGTGTGTTTAGAACATGGGGAGAGTGTCTGGCCATTTTGAGGGGCACCTCCCTTTGACTCACCACCACATGTGAGTGAGAGAGTGAGAGAGTGAGAGAGTGAGAGTGAGAGTACTGAACACCTCATAGATCACTTTATGGAAAATGATTTAGGAGCAATGAAATGGCAGCAGAGTCCAGCCCTGTTACAGTAAATGCACTGAACTGTGTGGTTGTTGGGGAGAATTCAACCTTGTACGTAAGTTTGACTACGAACTCAAAACCCCCTGTCCACGAGAAGCAGAACTAACCCATTTAGGATCACCAATGTACTTGTAAAGATACATGTTTCACACTGTGATGGTAGTCACAACGATATTCTACCCAAGATGTTTCTTGTGTTATTGTTATTGTGTGAATGGCATGGCACGTTAGTACACAACTAACCCTGGTCTCTCTTTCCCCAGATAAATACCACGGGTAGATGAAGAAGCAGAGAAGATGTCGTTCTTTGGGCTGGACTGTGCCAAGAAGAAAGAGAGAGGTGAGGAGCCGACCAACCTCGCTGTTCTCATGATGTTTAATAGTTAACAATAAGGAGAATGCTGCTTCGGAGATGGCTACCCCATCATCTGTCCTCTCCTTTTCTCTTGTCCTCTCCCCTCTCCCCATCTAAGACACTACTGCAGTTTTACTCTTTATTGCTGTAGTATAACCTTATTATATAGTCAAACTTAATTACTACAGTATACACTGTCAAGTAATTATCTTTTTGTTGTCTCATGATTTGGCTGGGTCTAATTGTGTTGCTCTGCTGGGGCTCTCTCTCTCAACTCTCTTTCTCACTCTCGCTCTCTCTCTCGCACTCTCCCTTTCCCTCTCTCTCTCACTGTCCTTTTCTCTCTCTTGCTCTCTCTCTCGGTCTCTGTCCCTCTCTCTCTCTCTGTCCTGTTCTCTCTCTCTCTCTCTCTCTCTCTCTCTCTCTCTCTCTCCTGTTCTCTCAGAGTTGGAGAGGAAACTGAGGGCAAATGACAGAGAGTATAACCTCTCCTTCAGATATGCGGTGAGTTTAGTTGAATGTGTGTGTATGAGGGTGCCTATGTACATGGTATTCCCAGGGGTAAAATGTATGTTTCACCATCCTGGTTTGTGTGTGTGTTTGGGTGGGCCTTTTGTATTGAGTATATATCAATCCCCTGGGACCAGGCTATACAGTGCCTTCAGAAAGTATTCAGACCCCTTGACTTTTTCCACATTTTGTTACATTACAGCCTTATTCTAAAGTGGATTACATAAATAAAAATCCTCAGCAATCTACACCCAATACCCCATAATGACAAAGCAAAAACAGGTTTCCAGAAATGTTTGCAAATGTATTAAAAATAAAACACTTAAATACCTTATCTACATAAGTATTCAGACCCTTTGCTATGAGACTCGAAATTGAGCTCAGGTGCATCCTGTTTCCATTCAGAGACTTGTCCAGAAAGCCACTCCTGCGTTGTCTTGGCTGTGTGATTAGGGTCGTTGAGGCTTTAGGTGCTTCAAGGATGTACTGAGTAAAGGGTCTGAATACTTATGTAAATGTGATATTTCTGTTTTTTATTTGTAATAAATTAGCAAACATTTCTAAAAACCTGTTTTTGCTTCGTCATTATGGGGTATTGTGTGTAAATTGCAGAGATTTTTTTTTTTTGTTCATCCATTTTAGAATAAGGCTGTTACGTAACAAAATGTGGAAAAAATAAAGGAATCTGAATACTTTCTTAAGGCACTGTATATGTCACTGTCTGGTTATTGTCATGTGTCTGGCTCCCTGCCAGGGGTCTGAGTGTGTGGTGGTCTGGTCTGAGTGTCTGGTGGTCTGGTCAGGTCTGGTCTGGTCTGAGTGTGTGGCAGTCTTTTCAGTTCTGGTCAGGTCTGGTCTGAGTGTGTGGGGGTCTTGAGTGGATAGGACATTGTTTCAGACATCTGCTGTAGAGTTACACATTACATTAAAAACACACTTTAGTTTACTACTGAGATCAACCCCCTACAGCTCTCTCCTCTCCTCTCCTCTCCTCTCCTCTCCTCTCCTCTCCTCTCCTCTCCTCTCCTCTCCTCTCCTCTCCTCTCCTCTCCTCTCCTCTCCTCTCCTCTCCTCTCCTCTCCTCTCCATCTCTCTCTCTCTCTCGCACTCTCTCTCTCTCTCTCCTCTCCCATCCCCAGCTTTTTATTCTCCAAGATCTATCTTGTTTAGGGAACAACTCTTGAGTTAAGAGACCAGAATAATGTAAACATCCAGTTCTTCCATGTGTTAGGACTGTAGCCAACGCCACAAGCCACTGACCTCTCTGTTATCAATGAAGAGAGACATTAAGAAATACATTTTGTCCTTTGAGAAGTGAGCTTCTAATGGAATGTAAGCTAAAAGCTGCCTGTTGGAGATCAAAGTACACTCTTAGAAAAAAGGGCTCCAAAACGGTTCTTCGGCTGTCCCAAATAGGATAACCCTTTTTGGTTCCATGTAGAACCTTCTGTGTAGAAGGTTTTACATGAAACTCAAAAGGATTCTACCTGGAACCAAAAGGTTCTACCTGGAACCAAACAGGGTTCTTCAAAGGGTTCTCCTATGGGGACAGCCGAATAACTCTTTTAGGTTCTAGATAGCACCTTTTTTTCCAAGAGTGTAGCGATCCAAAGTTGTTAACCATTTAAACCAAGCTGTTCTAAAATGAGTCACACACACACACAGATTAGACTCAGCACGCAGCTCCTAATGTGATGTCGTTACCGGTTCTCATTTAAATATCTTTCAGACAGTGGAGTCCCGGCCCATCTTCTGAAACATTACATCTTCAAAGAGTATGTTAAATAAATCCCACGCCCCCCCAAGAGGAAGTAGGAGATTGCAAACGAAACTGCTCTTGTCTTCTATTGTCTTGTCTTGTATCATCTAATATTGTCTTGTCTTATCTTGCACAATGCTTAGTTGGAAAACATGTTGGTTTCATTTCCTCCTATCTCAGTTGAGAAATGTTACTTAACCTTGATTGAGTTAGGCTAATTCAGCACCACTGATCTGCCAGCAGCCCTGCCGGAGACAGAGCTATGAAGAAGTTCACTCAGAGAACATGTTTGTATGAGTTCTCATTGGCTTCTCAATGTATGGGTTCTCATTGGCTTCTCATAGTTTGAGTTCTCATTGGCTTCTCAATGTATGAGTTCTCATTGGCTTCTCAATGTATGAGTTCTCATTGGCTTCTCAATGTATGAGTTCTCATTGGCTTCTCAATGTATGAGTTCTCATTGGCTTCTCAATTTATGGGTTCTCTAAAATCATGTTATGTTTTACTCACACACTCTTTCTCCCTCCCTCCCTCCCTCCCTCCCTCCCTTCCTCCTTCCCTCCCTCCCTCCCTCCCTCCCTCAGACCAATGCCATTAAGACGTCTAAGTACAACGCGTTCACCTTCCTGCCCCTCAACCTCTTTGAACAGTTCCAGAGAATAGCCAACGCTTACTTCCTCATTCTGCTGGTACTCCAAGTGAGTGGAACACACACACACACACGCATATGCACATACGTACAGAGATACACACACACACACCTTTTGTTTCAACATGCATTATCAGGACATACAGTATTAGTTTGGAGGAGTATCCAGTTCCAGACTATGGGCGCTTGCGTCAGCGTGCTACTCGCTCATAACAGCTATCACTAACCTCGATTTTGGACGAGGACTTCTACTTCAATGCTTCGGACGCAAAAGACAGGCCCAAATCCCCGACACTAGAAGAAGGAGGAGATGGTGCTACAGAGGCCCGGCGTGCGGGATACCTGACGAGATTACTTCGGAGAGTGGATAAATCGCCTCTACCCCTCCGTTCTATTTGCAATCACTGGAGAATAAACTGGATGAACTCAGTTCGAGACTATCCTATCAACGTGATCTGAAGAACTGTAATATCCTATAGTCGTGGCTGAACAAGGACATAGCAGATATAAATCTAGCTGGTTTTTCTATACGTCGTCAGGACAGAACGGCAGCGTCGGGGAAGCTCAGGGGAGGAGGTGTGTTTCTCTTTGTTAACAACAGCTAGTGCACGATCTCTAATAATAAGGAAGGAAGTCTTGAGGTTCTGCTCGCCTGAGTTAGAGTACCTCATGATAAGCTGTTGACCATACTATTTACCAAGAGAGTTTTCGTCTATATTTTTCATAGCTCTCTATTTACCACCAGAAACCGATGCTGGCACTAAGATCGCACTCAACAAGCTGTATAGGGCCATAAGCAAACAAGACAATGCTCATCCAGAGGCAGCACTCTTAGTGGTCAGGGACTTTAATGCAGGAAAACTGAAATCCATTTTACATCATTTCTACCAGCAAATCACCTGTGCAACTAGAGGCAAAAAGATCACCTTTACTCTACACACAGAGACGCATACAAAGCTCTCCCTTGACTTCCATTTGGCAAATATGACCATAACTATATCCTCCTGATTCCTGCTTACAAGCAAAAACTCAAACAGGAAGTACCAGGGATGCGCTCAATATGGAAGTGGTCCAATAAAGCGGATGCTAAGCTACAAGAATGTTTCACTAGCACAGATTGGAATATGTTCCGGGATTCATCTGATTGCATTGAGGAGTTTACCACATCAGTCACCGGCTTCATTAATAAGTGCATCGACACCGTCGTCCCCACAGTGACCATACATACATATCCCAACCAGAAGCCATAGATTACAGGCAACATCTGCACTGAGCTAAAGGCTAGAGGTGCCGCTTTCAAGAAGCGAGACACTAATCCTGACACTTATAAGAAATCCTGCTACGCCCTCCGACGAACCATCAAACAGGGAAAGCGTCAATACAGGATCAAGATCGAATCCTACTATATCGGCTCTGATGCTCATTGGATGTGGCAGGGCTTGCAAACTATCACGGATTACAAAGGGAAACTCAGCCCCGAGCTGTCCAGTGATGCGAGCCTATCAGACGAGCTAAACACTTTCTATGCTCGCGTCGAGGCTAGCAACACTGAACCATTCATGAGTGCACCAGTTGTTCCGGACGACTGTGTGATCACGCTCTCAGTAGTCGACTATCACCCCGGTAGCATTCACATCAGTAGTCATGAAATGCTTTTAAAGGATGGTCATGGCACAATCAACACCATCATTCCAGACACAGTGGACCCATTCCAATTCGCATACCGCCCTAACAGATCCACGGATGACGCAATCTCTATTGCACTCCACACTGCTCTTTCCCACCTGGACTAAAGGAATACCTACGTGAGAAGGCTGTTCATTGACTACATCTCAGAGTTCAACACCATAGTGCCCTCCAACCTCATCACTAAGCTAAGGACCCTGGGATTAAACACCTCCCTCTACAACTGGATCCTGGACTTCCTGACGGGCCACCCCCAGGTGGTGGGTAGGCAACAACACATTCACCATGCTGACCCTCAACACGGGGGCCTCTCAGGGGTGCGTGCTTAGTCTCTTCCTGTACTCCTTGTTCACCCACGACTGTGTGGCCTTGCACAACTCTAACACCATCATTAAGTTTGCAGACGACACAACGGTGGTAGGCCTGATCACCGACGACGATGAGACAGCCTACAAGGAGGAGGTCAGACACCTGGCAGTGTGGTTCCAGGACAAGAACCTCTCCCTCAACATCAGCAAGACAGAAGAGCTGATCGTGGACTACAGGAAACGGAGGGTCAAGCATGCCCACATCCATATCAACGGGGCTATAGTGGAGCAGGTCGAGAGCTTCAAGTTCCTCTGTGTCCACATCACTAAGGAATTTGGTGTGGGTCCTCAGATCCTCAAGAAGTTCTACAACTGCACCATTGAGAGCATCTTGACTGGCTGCATCACCGCTTGGTTTGGCAATTGCTTGGCATCTGACCGCAAGGCGCTACAGAGGGTAGTGCATTGGTGTAGTACGGCCCAGTACATCACTGGGGCCAAGCTCCCTGCCATAGAGGACCTCTATACCAGGCGGTGTCAGAGGAAGGCCCTAAGAATTGTCAAAGACTCCAGTCACCCAAGTCATAGACTGTTCTCTCTGCTACTGCACGGCAAGCGATACCGATTCACCAAGTCGGAAACGACAGGACCCTGCACAGCCTTTACCCTTAGCCATAAGTAGTTAGTTAAATAGTTAACTAATAGCTACCCAGACTTTCTGCATTGACCCTTTTTGCACTAACTCTTTTGACACATCACATGCCCTGCTGTTACTGTTAATTATCTATCCTGTTGCCTAGTCACTTTATCCCTACCTATATGTACATATCTACCTAAATTACCTCATACCCCTGCACATCTGCTCCGTACTGGTACCCCGTGTATATAGCCAAGTTATCATTACTCATTGTATATTTATATATTATTTTTCTATTTGTCTCTCTGCCCCGTAAGTAGTAAGCATTTCACTGTTAGTCTACACCAGTTGTTTACGAAGCATGTTACCTGCTGGAGCCAGACCCTGTTGGAGGAGATGGCTATGATTTCCACAGTAAAGCTAGAATCAGTCCAATAAGAAAACGGGATATGATTTCCAGAATAAAGCTACATCAGTCCAATAAGAAAACGGGATATGATTTCCAGAATAAAGCTACATCAGTCCAGTAAGAAAATAGGATATGACTGAGTGAAGTGCATTGATTGAGGAAGTGAGATACTCAGCACAGTTGACTCTTAGCGTCTTAACTCATTGTTGGATAGAGGTTTACAAACGACATACCTGACGTAGAGAGATCTCATCACACCTTACAGTATGTAGAAACAACTATGGAGACTAGCAGAGAGCCGATCCATATACATGTCTCTGTCTTATGGATCCAGTACAGGGTTTCATATCATGGATTCTGTCCTGTTATGAAAGTCTATGTGTAGGCTTGTGTTGTGTTTTTGTCTGCATACTCACTGTATGTTTAGCTAATATCAGCACCATTTACGATCAACACCACCATCATAGAGATCCTATTAAATTACTAGAGGGGCTATGTCATAAACCCTAAAAGTTCCAAACCAGTCTTATTGGAATTAATGGCAGTAGAGGCATGATTCAGATTTTACTTATGCAGGAAAATAAAAGTAAGGCATGTGATAAATCAGATATTGTGTATTAGAAGTATTGTCAACCTAAAATATTGCCATACAATTATAAATACAGTTTATGCAGGTTTTATACACATTTTCTGTATGAATAGCCTCTAAAATATATGTAAACAGACCATAAAGGTCTCCATTTTTGTTTTCTTGTAAAGCTGTGAGTGCAATTATATGATACAATATCACTACTTGTTGCATTTACAACTTGTCTAAGTCCTTATCATCAACTGATTTCAGCATATTGGCAGTTAATTTAAACAATTAATGGAATAATTTCTCTAAAACTGGATGGCTAGCTAGCTAACAAACATACAGTGAAGATAAATTCTTCAAATTCATTATTTTACACAATATCTTATCAAGGCATTGGCAAATCATGGTTGACCAACTCCCTGACCAAAATGGCTGACCTTTATACCATCATAAGAAGGTTCATGACCATTCTAGTATTCTAATTCCTAATTACATGACCACCATCTCCTCCCTATATTGGGGTATCTGTTGTATTAATGTGAGATGTTGTATAGATGTTGTATAAATGTTACCTGAGTGTTTGTTGAACGTTGTGGTTGTGTTGCGGTAGGTGATTCCTGCCATCTCCTCTCTGTCCTGGTTCACGACCGTGGTCCCTCTGGTCCTGGTGCTGTCTGTGACTGCTGCTAAAGACGCTACAGATGACATAGTGAGTATGAAGAGAACTCCTTACCTTTCACATATAACTGCTGCTCAGCCCTTCGCCATTCCAAGCAGATATCTCTTTAGCTTCTCCTTTTCATCTTTACCCCTCTCTCTCTCTCTCTCTCTCTCTCTGTCTCTGTCTCTGTCTCTGTCTCTCTGTCTCTCTGTCCTCTCTGCTCCCTGGCTCTCTCGTCCTCTCTCTCTCTCTCTTTCTCTCTCTTCTCTCTCTCTCTGTCTCTCTCTCTCTCTCTCTCTCTCTCTCTCTCTCTCTACCTACCTACTCTGTCGTGATTTATTCACCTTTGACCTTCTGACCTTTAACCTGCTTACCTTACCTGACTATTGTATAGTGGTGGTGCACTGGGCTGGTTGAAAGGTTGTAGAGGTTCAGACTATTGTCAGTTTGGCTGTCACTCCACACTCCAACCTCTCTCTCTTTCCCCTCTCTCTCTCTCTCTCTCTCCTCTCCTCTCTCTCTTCTCTCTCTCTCTCTCTCTCCTCTCTATTTCTCTCTCTCACCGAAATCCTCTCTTATTTGTATATCCATGGTGATTGTTGTTGTGTTGGTGGCAGTAACGTCATTGTTTCAGGAGTTGGGACTAAGACTCCACTTTTTGAACGTCTGTGTCAGACATCTTATTTAAGGCTCTGTTTCAGGTTACTCCCTCCTCTTACCTCATCTCGTATCTCTCTCTCTCTCACTGCAGGCTCTGTGTATGTGTCCATGTGTCTGTGCGTCCATGCATGTGTGGTTGACTTTCTGGAGGAGAATATCAGTAAGATAATTGGTTAAACAACAGAAATGTCTTCTGATTCCCTCTCTGATGTGTTTTTAATTGGCTTGTTCTTTCACTACTTTCTGAATCAAGCAGGAATCTAGTTTTAATACCAAAACAATAAAAGGAAAATAACTTTCAGTTCCAGCTGTAAAGTTTTTAAAAAAACCACTACTGCTACAGGCTGTGGAGGGAATTTTGCAACCTGATACTGAACCGGTCTGGGAAATGTGATCTCATGTGGTTACACATTAACCTCAGTAACAGAACAAGGGTCTGTTTGTTAGGTCAGGTGGCTACACAGACTGCGTCCCAAATTGCACCCTATTCCCTATGTAATTCACTACTTTTGACTAGGACCCATAGACTGTTCAAAAGGTAGTGCACTATATAGGGAATAGGGTGCAATTTGGGACGTAGAAACTGACCTTTCTGCCTTCACGGTCCAGCAACAGCTTTAGTGAGGTCATCGTATTTGGCTTATCATGATTGGCTCTTGGTGAGGAGATGGTGGCCATCTTTAGCGACACAGTGGTGGGAAGTCAAGAGTTTTGGGTGGCCTGGTGAGACTCCAGACTAAAACCTAACATTTAGACAACCTCTTACCTGAAGAAATCCCCTCAGTCAATACATAAAGAGAGCATATAAAGATGTCTTGTAATGATTAAGTCAACTCCATTCACAAGTCCCCATTTAACCAGGAAACGACCCTTGAGGTTAGCTACTAATGTCTAATGTATTGTATTATCCTCTCTGTTTTACCAGAACCGCCACAGGAGTGACAACCAGGTGAACAACAGGAAGGTCACAGTGCTCATGGATGGAGAGTAAGTTCATCAGATCTACTATTGGTTTCATTATGAACACAACTTATGATGGTTGTGTGTGTGGTCAGAGATTGTTTGTCCCCATCCTACTGTCTCCACTGTCCTCCACACAAATCCATTTCCAGGCAGGGACAGCTAGGCACCGTGCCCTCTTTTCTGGGGGGCAACAGGAAGCAGCTGCAGGACAACAGGAAGTGCTTGTTTTCTTCCTGTTGATGTGACTCCAGACTACATAGATTTGAACGTCTGACCCCATTGGCTATATTTAGTCTTCTATTTCCTCCTGACTGTCCCCAAACAACAGAGGGACGATCCCTACTGTCTACACAACATACTCTCTCACTTTCACTCTCTCTCTCTCTCTTTCCCCTCCACCACACACACTCTCTCTCTCTCTGTCTCTTCCCCTCCTTCTCAATATTTGTCTGTCTAGACTACGGAGTGAAAAATGGATGGACGTTCAGGTGGGCGATACCATCAAACTGGAGAACAATCAGTTTGTTACGGTGAGAACAGAACACTGAACCTAACTGTCAGTTCATTAAAACATACTGATTCAGCTCTGGAACATGCTGTGCCTCACTGTTAGTCTATTTTAACAGTTGGCACAGGAGACCATCCTGATAGACTGAATATAGGCACCAGTCTATTTGATAGTCAGTGAATCTGATTCTGTGAATCTCTGTGTGATTTCAGGCAGACCTGTTGCTGCTCTCTAGCAGTGAACCTCTCAACCTGGTCTACATAGAGACTGCTGAACTGGACGGGTCAGTGTGTGTGTGTGTGTGTGTGTGTGGCTGTGTCAGTTTGTTTGTCCATCCACTGTACAAAGCTAATGTCTATTCATACTTACTCCTCATACCCTCTCTCCCTCCTCCTCCTCCTCCTCCTCCCCCCCTCCTCCTCCTCCTCCTCCTCTCTCCCCTCCTCCTCCCCCCTCCTCCTCCTCCTCCTCCTCCCCCCCCCCCCTCTCCCTCCTCCCCCCCCCCCTCTCCCTCCTCCTCCCCCCCCCCTCCTCCTCCTCCTCTCTCCCCTCCCCCCTCCTCCTCCTCCCCCTCCTCCTCCTCCTCTCTCCCCCCTCTACTCCTCCTCCTCCTCTGCCCATCTCCTCCTCTGCCCATCTCCTCCTCCTCCTCCTTCTCCTCTGCCCTCCTCCTCCTCCTCCTCCTCCTACTACCCCCCCCCCCCCCCCCCCTCTCCCCCCCCCCCCCCCCCCCCCCCCTCCTCTCTCCCCATCCTCCCTCTCCTCTCCTCCACCTCTCAGAGAGACCAATCTAAAGGTGAAGCAGGCTCTGACAGTAACAGGAGACATGGGGGACAACATCCACAGCCTGGCTGCCTTCAATGGTGAGTTGACACTCAGAGGGTGACATCTGAAGGGGTTAGACACTTTCTAGATAGTAGCTCTGGGTAGAAGTTTCCCTTAGATACAGATCCAGGATCAGCCAAATCCTAACATGAACCATTAAGGGGGATATGCATAAACTAACCTTTTGATCAGTGTCTAGGGGAAAAAAGTCATTCTGCTCATACTTTGTAGCCACGCCATAATGATCATAAAAGCATAAAGCAAATTGCCAAAGAAAAACATAGAATTACGAAAGAAAAAAGCAGCATATTTCAATCAGGTGTGGTTCAGTGCCCTAGTAAATGTATGATGTTTTAACCATATAAATACCCACTCTCCTCTCGTCCAAACCCTGTGTCTCCTCCTCTCCTCCTAACCCTGTGTCTCCTCTCCTCCTAACCCTGTGTCTCCACCTCTCCTCCTAACCCTGTGTCTCCACCTCTCCTCCTAACCCTGTGTCTCCTCCTCTCCTCCTAACCCTGTGTCTCCTCCTCTCCTCCTAACCCTGGGTCTCCTCCTCTCCTCCTAACCCTGTGTCTCCTCCTCTCCTCCTAACCCTATGTCTCCTCCTCTCCTCCTAACCCTGTGTCTCCTCCTCTCCTCCAAACCCTGTGTCTCCTCCTCTCCTTCTAACCCTGTGTCTCCTCCTCTCCTCCTAACCCTGTGTCTCCCTCCTCTCCTCCTAACCCTGTGTCTCCTCCTCTCCTCCTAACCCTGTGTCTCCTCCTCTCCTTCTAACCCTGTGTCTCCTCCTCCCCCTCCTAACCCTGTGTCTCCTCCTCTCCTCCTAACCCTGTGTCTCCTCCTCTCCTCCTAACCCTGTGTCTCCTCCTCCTCCTCCTAACCCTGTGGTCTCCTCCTCTCCTCCTAACCCTGTGTCTCCTCCTCTCCTCCTAACCCTGTGTCTCCTCCTCTCCTCCTAACCCTGTGTCTCCTCCTCTCCTCCAAACCCTGTGTCTCCTCCTCTCCTTCTAACCCTGTGTCTCCTCCTCTCCTCCTAACCCTGTGTCTCCTCCTCTCCTCCTAACCCTGTGTCTCCTCCTCTCCTCCTAACCCTGTGTCTCCTCCTCTCCTCCTAACCCTGTGTCTCCTCCTCTCCTCCTAACCCTGTGTCTCCTCCTCTCCTCCTAACCCTGTGTCTCCTCCTCCTCCTAACCCTGTGTCTCCTCCTCTCCTCCTAACCCTGTGTCTCCTCCTCCTCCTAACCCTGTGTCTCCTCCTCTCCTCCTAACCCTGTGTCTCCTCCTCCTCCTTCTAACCCTGTGTCTCCTCCTCCTCCTCCTAACCCTGTGTCTCCTCCTCTCCTCCTAACCCTGTATCTCCTCCTCTCCTCCTAACCCTGTGTCTCCTCCTCTCCTCCTAACCCTGTGTCTCCTCCTCTCCTCCTAACCCTGTGTCTCCTCCTCTCCTCCTAACCCTGTGTCTCCTCCTCTCCTCCTAACCCTGTGTCTCCTCCTCTCCTCCTAACCCTGTGTCTCCTCCTCTCCTCCTAACCCTGTGTCTCCACCTCTCCTCCTAACCCTGTGTCTCCTCCTCTCCTCCTAACCCTGTGTCTCCTCCTCTCCTCCTAAACCCTGTGTCTCCTCCTCTCCTCCTAACCCTGTGTCTCCTCCTCTCCTCCTAACCCTGTGTCCTCCTCTCCTCCTAACCCTGTGTCTCCTCTCCTCCTAACCTGGTCTCCACCCTCCTCCTAACCCTGTGTCTCCTCCTCTCCTCCTAACCCTGTGTCTCCTCTCCTCCTAACCCTGTGTCTCCTCCTCTCCTCCTAACCCTGTGTCTCCTCCTCTCCTCCTAACCCTGTGTCTCCTCCTCTCCTCCTAACCCTGTGTCTCCTCCTCCTAACCCTGTGTCTCCCCCTCTCCTCCTAACCCTGTGTCTCCTCCTCTCCTCCTAACCCTGAGTCTCCTCCTCTCCTCCTAACCCTGTGTCTCCTCCTCTCCTCCTAACCCTGTCCAGGCGAGGTGCGCTGTGAGCCCCCCAACAACCGACTGGACCGTTTCACAGGAACACTGACTAACGCTGGTCAGAAATACTCTCTGGACAACGACAAGATCCTGCTGAGGGGCTGCACCCTCAGGAACACAGAGTGGTGCTTCGGACTGGTGCTGTTCGGAGGTGAGAGGTTAAAGGTCAGGGCTGGTGCTGTTTGGAAGTGAGATGTTAGAGGTCAGGACTGGTGCTGTTTGGAGGTGAGATGTTAAGGGTCAAATCAAATCAAATAGTATTTGTCACATTGGCCAAATACAACAGGTGTAGTAGACCTTACCGTGAAATGCTTACAGAGGTCAGGACTGGTACTGGTTCACAGGTCAGTTAAACCCGCCCTCTGCTGGGCAGTATAGATAATAAACATCATCAGAGAATACCGAACTCTGACTGACCAAATGGACATTTTGCTTCTAACCTTTATTAAAAGGTATTCTTCTAAACAATGAGGAAATGTCAATTATCGGTTGTTAAGTTTTTTTCTTCTAAATTATTACATATAGCCCCTTTAATACTAACCCTGTTGTGGTCCAGGTCCAGAGACTAAGCTGATGCAGAACTGTGGAAAGACCACGTTCAAGAGGACCAGCATCGACCGCCTGATGAACGTGCTCGTCCTTTGTGTGAGTCCAGCAGTTAGACTCTTGTGGGTTTTATCTGTCAATGGATAGATCTGGGATAGATGGGGTTTTATTGGGAGTTAAGATCTTAATTTTAACTTTCACTGGACATCTCTCATTAACAATATGTTTTTTATTACACTAGGTTCAGTTTAATTTTCTATAGTTTCTGTCAGCCTTTACATCTCTCTTCCCACCTGTTGACCTCTTGACCTATTGACCCCTCTTTCCCCCATCAGATCTTTGGCTTCCTGGCGTTCATGTGCACGATCCTGGCCATCGGCAACAGGATCTGGGAGCAGCGCTGGGGGTCAGAGTTCACGGCCTTCCTGCCCAGACAGGACGGAGTCGACACCCCCTTCTCCTCCTTCCTCACATTCTGGTCCTACGTCATCATCCTCAACACCGTTGTACCCATCTCACTCTACGTCAGGTATGTGTGTGTGTGTGTGTGAGAGAGAGTCTGTTTTACTGTGTCATTGCTTATTGTATTTCTGCCTATTTGAGATACTGTACCTTGCAGATACATGTCTGCGCTAAGGTTCTACTGTATGTAATGTAATGAATGATTCCTGTATGTGTTGCAGTGTGGAGGTCATCCGTCTGGGCAACAGTTTCTACATCGACTGGGACAGGAAGATGTACCATGCCCTTAGTGACACCCCGGCCAAGGCCCGGACCACCACGCTGAACGAGGAGCTGGGTCAGATCAAATACATCTTCTCTGACAAGACTGGAACACTCACTCAGAACATCATGATCTTCAATAAGTGTTCTATCAACGGGAAGAGCTACGGTGAGGTTCGGTTGGTACATAGGAAGAGCTACGGTGAGGTTCAGATGGTACATAGGAAGAGCTACGGTGAGGTTCAGATGGTACATAGGAAGAGCTACGGTGAGGTTCAGATGGTACATAGGAAGAGCTACGGTGAGGTTCAGATGGTACATCAGAAGAGCTATGGTGAGGTTCAGATGGTACATAGGAAGAGCTACGGTGAGGTTCAGATGGTACATAGGAAGAGCTACGGTGAGGTTCAGATGGTACATAGGAAGAGCTACGGTGAGGTTCAGATGGTACATAGGAAGAGCTACGGTGAGGTTCAGATGGTACATAGGAAGAGCTACGGTGAGGTTCAGATGGTACATAGGAAGAGCTATGGTGAGGTTCAGATGGGTGGTCCTCTGTAGCTCAATTGGTAGAGCATGGCGCTTGTAACGCCAGGGTAGTGGGTTCGATCCCCGGGACCACCCATACGTAAAAATGTATGCACACATGACTGTAAGTCGCTTTGGATAAAAGCGTCTGCTAAATGGCATATTATATTATATTATTATAGATGGCACATAGGAAGAGCTACGGTGAGGTTCAGATGGTACATAGGAAGAGCTACGGTGAGGTTCAGATGGTACATAGGAAGAGCTACGGTGAGGTTCAGATGGTACATAGGAAGAGCTACTGTGAGGTTCAGATGGTACATAGGAAGAGTTATGGTGAGGTTCAGATGGTACATATGAAGGCAAGGAAGTGTGTATGGACGGATGCAGAAGCACACACACACGAACAAACACACAATCACAGGCTCGCATGAATCCCTCCTCCATTGTGAAGAACCCCACATGAATTCATCCAGTCTCAATTCTGTTCTCCAGGAGATGTATTTGACTACACTGGCCAGAGACTGGAGATCAACGAGCACACAGAGACGGTGGACTGGTCCTTCAACCCTCTTGCTGACCATCAATTCTCCTTCCATGACCACTCGCTGGTGGAGGCAGTGAAGCTGAACAGTGTGGAGGTCCACTCCTTCTTCAGAATTATTGGCCCTCTGTCACACTGTTATGGCTGAGGAGAAGAGAGAGGGTGAGGAGAGGGGGAGGGGGAGAGGAGAGAAGAGAGAGGGAGAGGGTGAGGGGGAGAGGAGAGAGAGAGGGGGGGCAGAGGACGAGAGATGAGAGAAAGAAGGAAGGGGGAGAAAGGAGAAGAGAGAGAGGGGAGGAGAGAGGAGAGAGGGAGGGAAGAGAGCAAGAAGGAGGGGGAGAAAGAGAGAGGGTGGAGGAGAGGGAGGGAGAGAGAGAGAGGGAGGATGAGGAGAGAGGGAGAAAGAGAGAGAGGGTGAGGAGAGAGGGAGGGAGAGAGAGAGGGAGGGAGGGTGAGGAGAGAGAGAGGGTGAGGAGAGGAGAGAGGGAGGGAGAGAGAGAGAGAGAGAGATGGAGGGTGGGTGGGTGAGGAGAGAGGAGGAGAGAGATGGGGGATTGGGATAGAGAGCGGTTGAGAGTGAGTGAGAGAGAGTATTTGTGAAAGTGGGGAGCATGTTTGTTTTTGCTTGTTGAGATTGAGATTATGTGTCAGAAAGGGAAGACTGTGTGTTTATCCATATTCATGTATATATCCAACAACAAAAAAGAGCGATAGCTACGACCACTTCCTCGAACAACAGGAAATGACCTCATTCCCTCTGTAAAGGTGAGCTGCTGTACCAGGCCCAGTCACCTGATGAAGGTGCCTTGGTAACCGCAGCACGCAACTTTGGCTTCGTGTTCCGCTCGCGCACGCCAGAGAGCGTCACTATCGTAGAGATGGGAAAACAACGCAGCTACGAGCTACTCGCCATCCTCGACTTCAACAATGTCCGCAAGAGGATGTCCGTCATCGGTAAACACAAACCATGAGAGATTTAGCTTCTTGCTCAGTGTAGTATGTCTATAAGGGCTGAAGCCTAACTGTGTGTGTGTGTGTGTGTGTGTGTGTGTGTGTGTGTGTGTGTGTGTGTGTGTGTGTGTGTGTGGTGTGTGTGTGTGTGTGTGTGTGTGTGTGTGTGTGTGTGTGTGTTGTGTACTACAGTGCGGAGTCCAGAGGGGAAGCTGTGTCTGTATTGTAAAGGAGCAGACACCATGGTCTATGAAAGGCTGCACCAGTCCTGTACCAAGCTGATGGACGTCACCACTGAACACCTCAACGTAAGAGTCTGTGAGAGAGAGAGTCATGAGAAAACCAAAAGATAATTACTTGACACATTGGAAAGAACTAACAAAAAAACAGAGCAAAATAGAATGCTATTTGGCCCTAAACAGAGAGTACACAGTGGCAGAATACCTGCTATTGAGAAAGGCCGCCGTAGGCAAACCTGGCTCTCAAGAGAAGACAGGCTATTTGCACACTGCCCACAACATGAGGTGGAAACTGAGCTGCACTTCCTAACCTCCTGCCAAATGTATGACCATATTAGAGACACATATTTCCCTCAGATTACACACTCACAAAGAATTTGAAAACAAACCCAATTTTGATAAACTCCCATGTCTATTGGGTGAAATCCCACAGTGTCCAATGACAGCAGCAAGATTTGTGACCTGTTGCCACAAGAAAGGGGCAACCAGTGAAGAACAAACACCATTGTAAATACAACCCATATTTATGTTTATTTATTTTCCCATTTGTACTTTAACTATTTGCACATTGTTACAACACTGTATATAGACATAATATGACATTTGAAATGTCTTTATTATTTTGAAACTTTTGTGAGTGTAATGTTTACTGTAAATGTTTTATTGTTTATTTCACTTTAGTTTATTATCTATTTCACTTGCTTTGGCAATGTAATCATATGTTGGGGGAGTATTTATGCCTGCAAATGTGTTAGTCTGTAAACCTATCTGTCTCTCTCTCTGTTATAGAAGGTAATATCCTCGTTTCACCATCCTGATCTCCCGAGATTACATTCTGTTAAAACGAAATGAGAGCACAGTGGTCAGGGTGGTGGATCACGTAAAAAAAATTAATCCCGTAACGTAAAAAAACAAAAACATGCAACGTGTGTGTGTGTGTGTCATATCCATTCAGGAGTTTGCTGGTGAGGGCCTGCGGACCCTGGCTTTGGCCTATAAGGACCTGGATGAGGAGTATTTTAGCAGGTGGAAACAGCGCCACCATGAGGCCAGCACAGCCCTGGAGGACCGAGAGGACAAACTAGACCTGCTCTATGAGGAGATAGAGAAAGACCTGATGGTAGGAAGGCTTTAACACTGAACCAGGAACAGATTTTTTATTTTACATATAAATAAAGAGAAAGACCTGGTGGTAGGAAGGCTTTAACACTGAACCAGGAACAGATTTTTTATTTTACATATAAATAAAGAGAAAGGCCTGGTGGTAGGAATGAGTTAAACACTGTACCAGGAACAGTTTGAGCTGTTACAGATAGAGAAAGGATCGTCATTTTATGTGTGTGTGTGTGTGTGTGTGTGTGTAGTTGCTGGGAGCTACAGCCATAGAGGATAAGCTCCAGGATGGTGTGCCTCAGACCATCGAGCAGCTCGCCAAAGCTGACATCAAGATCTGGGTGCTCACCGGCGACAAACAGGGTTAGTCAATCAATCAATCAATCAATCAAAGAAACAGGGTTAGTCACCAAGCAACTTTTCTCTGACCAATCTGCTGAATAAGCACATTGTAAACCCCCTACTGAATGATAGCCACCTTCCTTTATCTAACCTTAACTATCTAACCTTACCTCTAACATTATCTATCTCACCTTAACTATCTAACCTTACCTCTAACGTTATCTATCTCACCTTAACTATCTAACCTTACCTCTAACATTTTCTATCTCACCTTAACTATCTAACCTTACCTCTAACATTAGCTATCTAACCTTAACTATCTAATATTATCTATCTAACATTATCTATCTAACCTTAACTGTCTAACATTATCTATCTAACCTTAACTATCTAACCTTACCTCTAACCTTATCTATCTAACCTTAACTATCTAACCTTAACTATCTAACCTTAACTATCTAACCTTAACTATCTAACATTATCTATCTAACCTTAACTATCTAACATTATCTATCTAACCTTAACTATCTAACCTTAACTATCTAACATTATCTATCTAACCTTAACTATCTAACATTATCTATATCACCTTAACTATCTAACCTTACCTCACCTCTATCAGCGCCGGAGAAGATGGCTGCCGTTTTACAGCCCTCTAACCATTTGTACTATTATGTGTGTTTTTCCGCGTTATTTGTAATTTATTTTATACATAATGTTTCTGCCATCGTCTCTTATAACCAAAAAGAGCTTCTGGATATCAGGACAGCGATTACTCACCTCGTATTGGACTAAGATTTTTTCTTCAACGAGGCGGCCGCGAAGGATATCATACAGACACCCCGACAAGGCCCAAATCCCCGTCATTCGCGTGAGGAAGAGACGGAGATATCGTGGACGTAGATCGGGGGTGCCTTGTAAGGATCCGACGGCGAGCGAGTAAACTGCCTCTTCCATCAATCCTATTAGCCAATCTTCAATCATTGGATAACAAATTGGATGACCTAAGATTACGGTTATCCTACCAACGGGACATTAAAAACTGTAATATCCTATGTTTCACCAAGTCGTGGCTTTACGACGACAATGATAACATACAGCTAGCGGGCTATACGCTACATCGGCAGGACAGAACGGCTGACTCCGGTAAGACAAGGGGTGGCGGTCTGTGTATATTTGTAAACAACAGCTGGTGCACAAAATCAAATACTAAGGAAGTCTCGAGGTTTTGCTCGCCTGAGGTAGAGTATCTTATGATAAGCTGTAGACCACACTATTTACCAAGAGAGTTTTCATCTATATTTTTCATAGCTGTCTATTTACCACCACAAACCACTGCTGGCATTAAGATTGCACTGAATGAGTTGTACAAGGCCATAAATCAACAGGAAAACGCTCATCCAGATGCAGCGCTCCTAGTGGCCGGGGACTTTAATGCAGGGAAACTTAAATCCGTTCTACCTAATTTCTACCAGCATGTTAAATGTGCAACCAGAGGAAAAAAAAACTCTAGACCACCTTTACTCCACACACAGAGACGCATACAAAGCTCTCCCTCGCCCTCCATTTGGCAAATCTGACCATAACTCTATCCTCCTGATTCCTGCTTATAAGCAAAAACTAAGCAGGAAGCACCAGTGACTCGGTTAACAAAAAAGTGGTCAGATGACGCAGATGCTAAGCTACAGGACTGTTTTGCTAGCACAGACTGGAACATGTTACGGGATTCTTCAGACAGCATTGAGGAGTACACCACATCAGTCACTGGCTTCATCAATAAGTGCATCGATGATGTCGTCCCCACAGTGACCGTACGTACATACCCCAACCAGAAGCCATGGATTACAGGAAACATCCGCACTGAGCTAAAGGGTAGAGCTGCCGCTTTCAAGGAACGGGACTCTAACCCGGACGCTTATAAGAAATCCCGCTATGCCCTCCGACGAACCATCAAACAGGCAAAGAGTCAATACAGGGCTAAGATTGAATCGTACTACACTGGCTCTGACGCTCGTCGGATGTGGCAGGGCTTGAAAACTATTACAGACTACAAAGGGAAGCACAGCCGCGAGCTGCCCAGTGACACAAGCCTACCATACGAGCTAAACCCACTTCTATGCTCGCTTCGAGGCAAGCAACACTGAAGCATGCATGAGAGCACCAGCTGTTCCGGATGACTATGTGATCACGCTCTCCGTAGCCGATGTGAGTAAGACTTTTAAGCAGGTCAACATTCACAAGGCCGCAGGGCCAGACGGATTACCAGGAAGTGTACTCCGAGCATGTGCTGACCAACTGGCAAGTGTCTTCACTGACATTTTCAAAATGTCCCTGAATGAGTCTGTAATACCAACATGTTTCAAGCAGACCACCATAGTCCCCGTGCCTAAGGACTCTAAGATAACCTGCCTAAATGACTACCGACCCGTAGCACTGACGTCTGTAGCCATGAAGTGCTTTGAAAGGCTGGTCATGGCTCATATCAACAGCATTATCCCAGAAACCCTAGACCCACTCCAATTTGCATACCACCCCAACAGATCCACAGATGATGCAATCTCTATTGCACTCCACACTGCCCTTTCCCACCTGGACAAGAGGAACACCTACGTGAGAATGCTATTCATTGACTACAGCTCAGCATTCAACACCATAGTGCCCTCTAAGCTCATCACTAAGCTAAGGATCCTGGGACTAAACACCTCCCTCTGCAACTGGATCCTGGACTTCCTGACGGGCAGCCCCCAGGTGGTAAGGGTAGGTAACAACACATCTGCCACACTGATCCTCAACACGGGGGCCCCTCAGGGGTGCGTGCTCAGTCCCCTCCTGTACTCTCTGTTCACCCATGACTGCATGGCCAGGCACGACTCCAACACCATCATTAAGTTTGCCTACGACACAACAGTGGTAGGCCTGATCACCGACAACGATGAGACAGCCTATAGGGAGGAGGTCAGAGACCTGGCCGTGTGGTGCCAGGACAACAACCTCTCCCTCAACGTGACCAAGACAAAGGAGATGATTGTGGACTACAGGAAAAAAAAGAGGACTGAGCACGCCCCCATTCTCATCGACGGGGCTGTAGTGGAACAGGTTGAGAGCTTCAAGTTCCTTGGTGTCCACATCACCAACGAACTATCATGGTCCAAACACACCAAGACAGTCGTGAAGAGGGCACGACAAAGCCTATTCCCCCTCAGGAGACTGAAAAGATTTGGCATGGGTCCTCAGATCCTCAAAAAAATTCTACAGCTGCACCATCGAGAGCATCCTGACTCGTTGCCATCACCGCCTGGTATGGCCAACTGCTTGGCCTCCGACCGCAAGGCACTACAGAGGGTAGTGCGTACGGCCCAGTACATCACTGGGGCCAAGCTTCCTGCCATCCAGGACCTCTATACCAGGCGGTGTCAGAGGAAGGCCCTCAAAATTGTCAAAGACTCCAGCCACCCTAGTCATAGACTGTTCTCCCTGCTACCGCACGGCAAGCGGTAACCGGAGTGTCAAGTCTAGGTCCAAAAGACTTCTCAACACTTCTACCCCCAAAATCCCATAATACTCCCTGACGCCCCCCCTTTTTCCTGGCTCACCCATGACTTATTTGCAA